AGAGGCACGCTAAGTTGGTGTCCCCTGGGGCACATCGGGGTGTCCCCCCCAAAATTAAAGAGTGGGGGATGGGGTTTAACCCCGGGTTTATTCCTAGTGCATGACCAGTGAACAAATGTTTAGCAATGAGAACGTTTAAGGGCCATAAACTGAACTGGAGAATACTTCTCAACTTTATTAATGATAAAATAAATAATCGTAATATTATTGGGGAAACATAAACTCAAATACCACTTTGATACAGGCAGCAGATCCTTCATTTATTCATCTCAACAATGCCAAAACTAAAAAAAACTTGAAAAACAAAGAAAGACATTGCAATATCAGAGAAACACTAGTTCCAATATGACAATGAGTACAGGTAACATCTCAGTGAATCTGATCTTAATTGTCCTCTTCGCTTCCGGGCTGAGTGGACCTACTGCGCAGACACTCCTCAGTTGCCTGGCTGCGGTGGTGTGAGGTAGTGCTGTCACACCTCTGCTCTCACACCAGGAGACCTACCATTAGTCAACATGGCGTTCAGTCATAGATGCTGGATTAACAGTTCAGTCATAGATGCTGGATTAACAGTTCAGTCATAGATGCTGGATTAACAGTTCAGTCATAGATGCTGGATTAACAGTTCAGTCATAGATGCTGGATTAACAGTTCAGTCATAGATGCTGGATTAACAGTTCAGTCATAGATGCTGATTAACAGTTCAGTCATAGATGCTGGATTAACAGTTCAGTCATAGATGCTGGATTAACAGTTTCAGTCATAGATGCTGGATTAACAGTTCAGTCATAGATGCTAGGATTAACAGTTCAGTCATGGATGCTGGATTAACAGTTCAGTCATAGATGCTGGATTAACACAGTAGGAATAGAGCTTCTCCGAGGGGCAATATCGCCTGTTTCGGTGCAAGTATTACTACCCAAGATCATCAGGGATATGTATGGCATTCAGGATGGATAGTTATATGGGGTAGCTTTAAATGGAGCTCACAGAATTTTTGTAAAATTGCTCACAGCAACTGTCTACGAATCGTTGGTCAGTGGTTTTCAGGACGTAAGTCTTGATGCTTCGCCAGCTGTTCGTGTGAGGATGATTGATGTATCCAGGCATTACACGTGGATCAAGCTTTGTAACGTTCCCTTCGAGGCGGATGAGGCTGATATTAGAAGAGTTTTTGAGAAATATGGGACAGTTCATTTGGCCCAGCATGGAACGTGGGTGATGTGAGCCTATGCGGGTCTACCGGAAGGCACTTTTAACCTAAAAATGACACTGCGACACCCCACACTATTATACTGCGGCAGTGGCAGCGGCGACAGCATGCTCTGTCTTTTCTCTCATTTGCAGAGCCCACCAACGCTTCTATGATGGCCTAATTGCAATCATAACTGCACTAACGTACGTAGAACCCAGCATTACCCAAGATAATTAACAGTGATACCTACAAACTGATAAACTACGGATTGAAGTGAAGACTGACCCACAATCAGCGTGTCAGCGTGCCTCGTTGTGCTCCGGGTTATCTCGTGTTTTCACGGTCGCTCTTACGTGCTAGAACTTTAATTTGTGTCATCAATCCTATACGATACATCCCTCTAGCGCCTGGAACCAATCTTGGGCGGAAAACATTATATACTGAGTCAAAATTAGTGTGCACTACCTAGCAGAGTTTACTGCCAGAGGGGAATCATAGGCCTGTGTCCTGTGTGGGAAAAAAATAATAATAATTGAACTTTTCGTGTCAGAGGAAAGAAAGTCTCCCTGATAACATTGAGTATACATAGTGTATAGTGTATACTACAGTGGCTCCCTAGTATATTGATGATAAAGGCTAAAGTGTCATTTGAAAACAGGTGAATTTGTAAATGAAGTGATAAGCCTATAGAGGCAGGTGCCAGAAGTCGCCAGAAACTTACACAGGTCAGCTGTTTTAATAATCTTCCTGGCTTGCTAGTGTACTCGCATATAATCTAGTGATACCAGTGAATAGCAGAATACAGTGTTGTAGTAGCAACTAACCAATATTATAATGGTACTTAGTGGAGTGGAGTGACTTTCATTAGTTTCTTTTCTTGAAATACGAGACGTTACTGTGAATTTCATATAACCTGTAGTTACCAGCGGTCGCAATATACACAACGAGAAGCAATTATTACTACAGAAAAAGCGTCCTTCCTCCAAAATTTGACCAGTCAACTATAGTGATAATATAGCATTTATTGTGGTGGAGACGGAAAAAAAAAAAATAGAAAAGCCAGATACAGCGATTGATAACCAAGGGTTGAGGTCGACCGTTCGTCATTGTAGGAGCTGCCAGATATCACCGGCTCTTCAACACGCAAGTTATACTTTTGTATCAGTCAAATCACATATTACTCAGGTAGATAATTTCCAGTAGATCCTTCATGTGTTAGCTCAAATCACCGACCAGTTTGTTTTAAATAAGTGACCCACTGATCAGAGCAGATCGACTGGTCCAAACCCTTGACTGGTCCGAACCCTTGACTGGTCCGAACCCGGGACTGGTTTCAAACAGTTTCGTTGGACATAAAGCAGACTGTAAACGGATGGGGTTGTAGGCGCCTTTATAAACACAAACATAAAAATCAGAACGTGACGGTAAGCTGTCCAATATACAAAAGAGTTAGAAACAGAATACAAATAGCTAGAGCTTCATTTAAGGTTATTAATATAATATTCAAGAGGTTGCTAGTAGAATTGCAGTAAATCAACCATTCAAATCATTATGAAGCTGTGTGTAGTCTGTGGTCAGTCAAACAAACGGGCTTCCACATGGATAAATTGTCATTTTTGTGGAAATTGGTGTCACGCTCCTTGTGCAGATATCCCAGAACTAGCTACAAGCAGTATTAAAAACAGAGAAGTGTTTTGGGTATGCCCAAATGAGGAAAATCTGTGGACTAAAATCACAAGGGTATTAAAAGAGGACAACATCAAAGCTGCTTTCATAGAAAACCTGGAAGCTTTCTACAACAGATGGGAACATAAAAAGTCTGGGCTGAATGGTACTGCCCTTGATACTGGCCATGTAGTCACAAACTGTAAGGCTGGAGGTGATGTCCTGGTAGTCAGTAAATGTGGGGCTGATAGTGCTGTCCTGGGAGACAGTAATGGTGAAGCTGGAGGTGCTGTCCTGG